AACAGGTGCCTTTTTTCTGATTAACATAAATAAGCTTATATTGGATTAGAGTGAGGGTTAGTTGTAAGAATAAAATATTTCAGCCCTATTTTAACTTTGTTCACCCATTTTTTATCGTGGTTCAGCTTTAACATGATTCAAGTTGAAATGAAGCTCAACCGAAACTAATCCAAAGCTGATCCGATGCTAACAAAAGACTTTAGGAAGCTGAACCGATCCTGATCTGTAGCTGAACCCGAGCCGAAATGATAGAAGCTGAACCGGATAAACATGAAAGTAAAGAAAATATTACAAGTTCTGTCATTCAAGACATACTCACAGTATTAAGTAAAAGATGACTTAGGTTTCAAAAGCAATCCTTTTCTTTATTTATCTTTTTAATTTTATACAATACTATAAACAATATAACAAAATATATTTTAATATGAAAAAAGCATTTTTTAAATGAACATATCTTATTAAATGAGATAATTCGCCAGTTTTACCCCATGGGTTAATGATCATTTTGCTCCCAGAGTAAACTTTACAAATAATACAGAGTTTACTATATGAGTAAATGGTCATTACTCCAAGTGTAAACTTTTACACTTAACGAGATTTACTTTCGTAGTTAATGATCATTTACTCCCACAGTTAACTATAGCAATAATGGAGAAGTTACTACATGAGAAAATGATCATTATTCCAAGACTAAACTTTTTACTAAGCGACATTTATTCTCGGACATAATGAGCATTTACTCCCACAAAAAAACTAATTTAATAAAAGAAAGTATATTAAACATTATAGTTAACTTATTCTTTCAACAAATACATTGACATCTTTATCACCATACTTGCCACAACTTTTTGAAATATTACATAGGAATTAAAAAACAATATTTCAAGCTTAACAATTTTAATTTCAAATTCATTTTCCATCATAAGGGGTGACATCTTGGGGGTGACATCTGTCGGTTTTACCGTATACCCCAACCCTAACCCTTACTAGGGTTATCTTTGAATCACCATGATATCAGCTTCGATTCAGCATCAGATCAGGTTCAGTTTAGCTTCGAATCAGCTTCGGTTCACCATCGGATCAGCTTCGGTTCACCATCGGATCAGCTTCGGTTCAGCATCAGATAAGATTCGGTTCACCTTCGAATCAGCTTCGGTTCAGCATCGGATCAGCTTCGGTTCAGCATCACATCAGCTTCGGTTCACCTTCGAATCAGCTTCGGTTCAGCATCGGATCAGCTCCGGTTCAGCATCGGATCAGGTTCGGTTCACCTTCGAATCAGCTTCGGTTCAGCATCAGATCAGCTTCGGTTCAGCATCGGATCAGCTTCGGTTCAGCATCAGATCAGGTTCGGTTCACCTTCGAATCAGCTTCGGTTCAGCATCAGATCAGCTTCGGTTCAGCATCGGATCAGCTCCGGTTCAGCATCGGATAAGCTATGGTTTAACTTTTATCATATAAGTTCGGGTTAAGTGACAAATCAGGATCGGTTCAGCATATTATCATCTTCGGTTTGGCTTCGAATCAGCTTCGGTTCAGCTTCGGATCAGCTTTGGTTTAACTTTTATTATTTCAGCTCGGGTTCAGCCACAAATCAGGATCGGTTCAGCTTTCTATAATCTTTGGTTTAGCTTCGGATCGGCTGCGGCTCAGCATCGGATCAGCTTTGGGTCAGCTTCGGTTCAGCTTTGGATTACCTTTGATCATCTCAGCCAAGCTTCGGTAACAAATCAGGATCGGTTCAGTTCGTATCACCTTCGGTTCATGTTGGGATCATTTTCGGTTCAGCACCGGATCAGATCCGGTTCAGCTTCCATCATTTCGGCTCAGGTTCAGCCACAGATCAGGATCGGTTCAGCTTCCTAAAATCTTTTGTTAGCATCGGATCAGCTTTGGATAAGTTTCCGTTGAGCTTCATTTCAACTTGAATCATGTAAGATTGGGCTTAGTAACAAATCAGGATAGATGCAGCCGTGAAAAGAAGGAAAGAGGAAGCTGACCGAAGCTGAACCACGATAAAAAATGGGTGAACAAAGTTAAAATAGGGCTGAAATATTTTATTCTTACCACTAACCCTTACTCTAATCCAATATAATCTTATTTATGTTAATCAGAAAAAAGGCACCTGTTCCCCCCGGACTTATAGCCGGTATTAGCTTCTCAAAGGAAGGGGTATCATTGGGCGCCACCCAACTCATTGTCGCCAGGTTTTACTCAAAATTCACAGTCCCTAAAGACTGCAAGTAGTCATTAACCAAAGCAAAATTAAACGCAGTCTCAATGGTTCATATTTCATAACACATAGTCAATCGCTTTTTTCTCAACGATTCAGGCAACCACCCATCATCATTTATCGCCGTCATCGAACACTACTAAGCAACTGCATTGCATAACAAAAAACTAACACAAGCAAATATTTCCTATCGAAATCATATACCTTATTATGGAATACCATATACAAATTGCCATAATCCATGTTTATCATTTATTAATATCCAAATAAAAATAAAAATTTCAATTCACATTCTGCACGTTTTATGAATAATTTAATCTACCATTTAAATAACACACACAAAATCTTTTCCCTCAAACAAAGCAACATCAAAAAAGACATTGTTTCATTCAATTTGTATTTAGAAGCGCGCACATATATATTGAAAGAAAAACACGTGACTATTCTGACCAATCAAAAAAGTGTTGCATAAACCGTTGTTGCATTTCGTATTTATCCCTAACCCTAAACCTAACCCTAAATGTTGAACAGTTTTGATTTAAAATCTGCAAAGATAATTGAATTGTGCGATGGATTTACTTTGTGTTAAGGGATTAAAAAACGTGATGTTACGTTCATGATACTTGTGTGTCTACAGACAGCATTGACTGGTGTGTATTTCATGTATAGCTATTCCAGTATTGTAAGGGGTATTCAAATAGATATTGAGCACCTACGAAACAATAATGTAGCTGATCTTAGTAGAGATAACAACAGTTGGATATTCCGTCTTGAAAATCAAGAAACGTTAGGAAAGTTCTATTTCGAACCAGAAGCTGGAAGTAAAACACTATATATGTTGAACAAAGGGAAAATTATACCAGTTGATGTTTCAACAAGCGTGGCATTTGAAGCGTTAGCAAGAAAAGTGATAAATCTAGGCAACTGTACAATAACAAATCAAAATATTACATTAGAGGTGAGTACTAGTACATGTAATATCATTGTTATTTGACTTTCAGAGCAAGACAAGTAAAGGCATGTAAGACATTCTCAGGATATGGCCTTTATAAGCTCAGCTTTCGAACTCAATCCTTCTTCAACAATTGATGTTATCCGGAACTCGGCAAATGTTGGTTCCCCCCCAGCTAATCCGTACTTGTACTACCTGTCACAATGCGCTTATTTTCAAAGTTGTAACTTGTACCTACGGATTAGCTGGGAAAACCCCAAATATTCTTTAATCCGGAGTTAGTCTTTTCATGCCTGTATTGTGTAAGTGGTATTATTTGAAATAAACTATGTCTAAATTAAAGGCATATAAAACTGATGCTGTATGCAGTAAGATCAGTGATATATCTAGTAAAGAACATGACTAATAATAATACGAATAATGCAGTCTGTTTAAGTCAAACGAAAGGTTTGAATGTTGATATATGTTATATATTGAAAAGCGTGCCAGATCCAAAAATGTATATTACCTTACTTTTTGTTTCTGTTTTCATGCATACACCAATTTGTAACGACTGGCGGCATTGAAATGCGTTTTTAATGAAACAAAAATATAACAATTTTGTAAAATCTTGTTGATGGGCTTGATTGTGCATTAACGGTCACTGGGCTTCTTGTTCTAAACATCTTTCCATACTTATAATTTAATAGACAATAAAAATCTCGGCCAACCTATCCGCGGAAGATGGGAATGGCAGGGAAAATGATGCATGTTTTTGCTTTTCGTCTGTCCCCGCACTGCAGGGTAAATGCAGGGATTTAATTACTAAAATGGCTCGCCAGAAGCACGCATAATATTATTTATTTAACTCGTCCAATAAATATAGTACTGAACCTACACTCATTCAATATTCTCTATGTAATATCGATCTTAAAGATTGTTATATTGAAATGATTATAAACAACAGGATAACTTTTGAATAACTTTTTATTCAGACGACTTATGTAATATCTGACTTTTTTGTAACAGGAGTGCGTAGTAACACACTGCAGTCCTTGTGGTAGAGAAAATAAGAAGGTTGATGCTACAAAATTCTGTACTGAATATGGCGAACATTTGTGCGAGAAATGTGTGCACGATCACAAGAAATTCGTGGTGACCAAGACACACAGAATTACAGGTACTAAATTATTCCTTAATATACCAAGTTACCTATATTCCATTTACAACTAAAATGTTCTAGATTTGTTAAGTTACTTTAATTGTCTATTTTGCCATGAAAGTGATTTTTGAAATACGATTAGGCGTTAGGTGAATTAAATGTTAACAACTAGTGTATAGCTATGTTTCATTATCATGTTAAAAGATAATAAAATGTATGCTTCATGGTTAGAGGCAGCTAAATATTTATAAATTCTTTTAGAAAATATTTAGTTATCAATCCTTCTCATTCCTTGCATAAAATCATTTTGGTCCGCATAATAATAATAGTAGTAGTAATAATAACAATAATAATAATAATTATAATAATAATAATTATAATAATAATATTTAAAGGTCAAATTTAACGATCTGGTTTAGTTCATAATATCAAAGTATGTTACGTAAAAAGAAGATTAAACTCGTTTGCAACATTATAACCCTCCGCTTTATACCATAAATCACCAGGTAAAAGTTGGCATAACGCACCGTTTTTTACAAGCTTGTATGAATTACTTCCCTTTGTTGTGACGTCATTGTTGAAATTAGGACACGCCGCCATATTGGAAATCATAGCGAAACTGTTAACAATCACGGATCATTTAACTTTAAACACTGCTACTATTTAGTAAACTCATGGATTTCTCTGACGAATCGGAACTTTATGAGGACGATGTCCATGAAATACTACCGTATATGTTTGAACCAAGAATTGAAATCCAGAATCAGGAAGCAGAGCAGAGCGAGTCTGACTCTGACTCTTCTGACAACAGTTCTGATGATTCTTACATCGGAAACTTAGATGATTGGTCAGTGTTTTTGTGTGTAAATTGTTTTTTTAATTGTTGACAGTAATCTTACATTTTACCACACTATTTTACTGCAATTATTCAATTAGAATCTAACAATAACTAGAAGTCCACGAATTTGCAAGATTGGTCGAACATAGCTAAAGATACTTCAGCGAACAGGTTTTATAGTTCTGCTTGACCTGTTTACTGTCGCAACGTCAAAATAAAAGCGACATATAAATTTATGGAAGCCAGAACTAGGTCGAACATAATGATAATCACACATACCTACAGCTACACGGGCAGTTACATGTATGCACATGTATGCATAGATAATAATTTAAAAAAAACTTAAATGTAAATTATTAATTTAGTGCATGTTGACAAAAATAAAAAGACTTGTAGGATAATCCGATTTTTTCAGACAAAAATGAATCCTTTTATAGGACGCCTGAATAATTTCACTTGCACCCATTTTATTCAGTTATTACTTTTTTCAGGTGTGAATGTGGATGTTGTGTTAACTTGCCTTCAGCCAATGGGAGGAAGTGCTGCCAATCGACAAACATTGTTGATGGGAAGGCAGAGGCAGAAGGGGTACCCTGCATCACCCTTCATGAGAAGTTCCAGGTAAACTGCCTGAACATCCATGTGTTGGAAACCTCCTATTACGAGTTTGTTCATGACCATGGGCCAAGAGAAGAAAATCAGGAAATTCATGAGTGAGTTAATTTTCAATCAGTGTACAGTAATAAGTATCTGTTTTTCAAAAAAGTTCAACTTCAGTCAATTTCAGTGAATTTAAGATCCCGAATTCGACGAGCCCGAATTCCAGTTTTGAATTTATTACTAAATTTTCTTAAAATTTTCACTGGCCCGAACTATTTTTCACTGTTCATGGACCACCGGGCCAGTGCTAAAATCGCTGACTGCACCTTAATCTTAACTTTATTTATCAATTTCAAATGATATGTTAGTTTTAAAGAAAGTTTCCTCAAATCACAGGAATATTTGAGCTGTGTCATGACAAAACCAACATAATGGGTTTGCGACCAGCATGGATCCAGACCAGCCTGTGCATCCGCACAGTCTGATCAGGATCCATGCTGTTCGCCTACCAACTCTACAAGTAGAGAAACTGATAGTGAACAGCATGGATCCTGATCAGACTGTGCGGATGCGCAGGCTGGTCTGGATCCATGCTGGTCGCAAACACACTATGATGGTTTTGTCGTGACACGGCTCATTTATCTAAATGTTAATTTTTAATTATGTTTTCAGGTTGTATCGATACTAATTTTTAATTATGTTTTCAGGTTGTATCGATACCTTGCCTACAGGCATTTTACCAGATGGGTCTACGGATTACTTTCAAAGAAGTGTAGGCGCGTTATTCCTTCATGTGCAGTCAACGCCATAAGAACACAGTTCCCTTCAGAGCAATACAGTGGGTTTCAATACCCACAATAGATGTTTCTTTAAATTGTATTGTACATTGTGGAAATAAATTTACACTAGTTTATCATTTTAGTTATTGAATAAATTATTTTCCCCTTCTAAACCTTTGCAAAAATAGTCAAAAACGATTTTACACTGAAAGCAAACTGTTCAGGAATGAAGCCAAGTAATGTGTCCATGTCCATGTTTTATTGCCACTTATGAAATGCTGACCATCAGTCAATAAATACCCATATGGTGAGTGGTATTCCCATAAGAAAATGTTAAAGTTTGCACCAATGACACAAATTATAATCCAGCTGGTATCCCAAATTATCAAAAATTTAAACCTTTTACCACCTAATGCTCATCTTTAAATGCACATAAAATGACCTACTATACATTCCTTTCTGTAGTGGTCAGTATTAACTGGATAGTATTGATGGAATAGGAAAAAGCCCACGGTCAAGGTAGTACATGTATGTGCCAAGTCTGTCAATTTAACTTTTATATATTATTATATATCTTACAAACAGGATCTTAAAAAGAACAAACTGTTGAAACTAAAATATTTATTTTCATTTCAAAAAAAAAGATGCAAACAAGTTGAAAGTAACATTCATGTTCTTCTGTACAAGACACATTGATAAGAGCTGTCTATGAAACAGAGTGCTCAACTAGGGATAATACATGATAGTGGAATAAAAACGATTCCTATAAATTCTAATTCCTAGTATAATAATGAAAGGTAATTGTAATTAAATAATTACTTTAGATTGGAAAAATTACAAATGCATTGTATAAGTCAGATGAATAAAACAATAAGTCTGGATAATGCTGAGGAAAAAAGGAGCAGAATTTAAATTCCTATAAAGGGTATTGTAAAACTGTGGTTAAGGGTCACATTAAATGGTGGTGTGGTACAAAAAAATAAACAGAAATTCGAGTCGATTAAGGGAATAATGATTATGATAAACTAACATCTAAGTTATGTTTCTTCCAAAATTTGGGGTGGTTGGTAACTAACAAATACAAGTCTAGCGTTTTAAATTATATTCCTTAATGACACAATAAAGATTTAACTAAAACATATTTGTTAACAAACAAAAAGAGAACATGCCAATGTTTGTGTTTAAATGTATGTTATTCAAATGAAAGGTCACATAATTGTACATAAACTGTGTAATGCAACACTTTAAAAGTTTATCAGTTCAAAAGTTCTCTAGAAATTTAGCATTCATACATTTCACATTTAAGGTCACCTTGACCAGAAAGTATCACACAAAGACAGCATCCCACTTCATTAAGTACACATGACAAGTAAATAATTACTTGAATTTGGAATATTTCTACTTTTTCTTAAAGCTAAGTACATTTTCTTAAGTTTTTTTTTTTAAATATTTTGGCTCCTCTGGAGACATGTTGTTTTAAATTTAGCGGTTAAATCTTGAAATGTGATTTTTCACTAAAGTTGATTTAGGTAAATTAAGTCTTTTGGGGGGTACTCTGTGCCAATGGTCATGGTCTTTCTTTGATTTCTTTTTTTCACTGGCCATTCTGTATGATGTGTTTCTCAAACGCAGTTCCTTTGCGTACACCATCAAATATGTAATGTATCCTGAAACAAAATTAAAACTATTATCTTCACATTGACTATGAATGATAAAAGAAGCTATATGTAGAGTTAAGTATTTATACTTTATCAAATGAACTCGATGAAAAGTTGTAGAGATAATTGTACAAAAATGAAATTACTCTTAAAATCAACTAATTCTGTTGTTTTATATTTCCTCTTCTTCATGGATGCAGTTAATTCATGTCACATAGAAAAACTACGCTTCTACCCATTTGATCTGTGCTGACAAATTACCTGGCACATATCAAATCTGACGGAACTTTTAAGATATTCATCATGTAAAGGCTAAGGCTCTTCAATAGTATTGATATACAAAGTACTAAAAGAAAGTGTGGCACGAGTTTGACAAATTAATGAATAGAGATATATTTTGCGTTGTTACGAGCCAGGCGTACCGAGAAGGAAAAGCCAGCAACAAACTTGTAACAATAACAAATTTATTACAGAAAAATTAATAAAGAAAATCAAAATAACAAAATTTTGTGTACAAATACCTGAAGTCCAAATAAAAATGTAAAATTAAAATGTCTTATCTGATCCTGGAATGATCCTTTTTGAATAGCACAGTTAAATCCAAGTTAAATCCAAGAACACTTTAGAATAAATTCCCACAATAAAATCCACAAGAATAATTTATTTTTAAAATCCAAGCTCCAATAATTCACTTTATATCCAAGTTGAATAATACTCCAAATATATTGATTTCTTAAAAGGTAACTGATGACTTAATAGATCACTGATGACTTAAAAGGTAAAGGTCATGAAAAATGTCACTTTATATATATTAACTAAGAAAATTCCAGAAACGTCTAATGTGTTCTAAAGTAATCATAATCTAGCAACTTCAACAATAAAGAACATTCCAGAAGTTTCTATCTTAATATAATGCATGAGTTTTCTACAACAGTTAAGAAAGTTCTAGTACATACATGTAGTTAATGTTCTAAAAATAGAACAATGATAATATTGGAAATACCAACTGGTCAGATATAAATTATATACATGTAATATGTTGCATACATAACACTTCCCCTCTTCAAGAAAAAGAAATAGAATGAAATGAATATTTCTTTTACATAAATCCAAACAATGTAACTTACAAATAACATAGGAGAAATGTTAAAACAATTTTATACATTCATATATATATGTATTACAAACAATAGCAAACAACAACAAAAAATAACCAATCATATCATATAAATGCTATTACAAACAATAGCAAACAACAACAAAAAATAATCAATCATATCATATAAATGTTAAATTTAAAATACTGCAAATAACAGTTTTAGACACGTGAAAGTCGCATCAGGGATCCAATTATCTTCCCTTTAATGTGTCTAATGTCAAGACTATATTCTTGCAAAAATAAGCTCCACCTCAACAACCTTTTGATTTTTTGTTTTTAAGTTTATGCAAGAAAGTGAGGGGATTGTGATCACTACAGACATTAACAGGCAACTTTGAAGAAGTTAGATAAACTTTTCAAAATGCTGAATAGCAAGAATAAGAGCAAGGCACTCTTTCTCTATAGTAGAGTAATTTTTCTGATGTTCATTAAACTTTTTAGAAAAAGTAACAAACAGGATGGTCAACACCATTGTTGTCTTCTTGGATCAATACACTTCCAGCATCTATGTTCACTAGCATCTACAGCTAACTTAAGTTATTTTTTTTTTTTTTTTTTTTTTTTTTTATTAAAATCTGGTGCCAAGAGAACGGTGACTCTTAATATGGGCTTTCAGGCTGTCAATGCATTTTGACACTTTGGTCATTTCGATGAAATTTGTTTCTTTTCTTTAGTAAATTGTCATGGTTCTGCAATAACGAAAAATTATTACAAAATATACGATAATACCTGCATACAGAAATCGCATCAGTTGTTTTACAAGTAGGCACAGGAGAATGTCAGCAGATAAGGCTTGTGACTTAAGTTCATTGGGTTTAACTTTTACCCGTCGCCTACATGTCCTAAAACTGTTAAATTCATGACACCAATTCACTTTTGCAAAGATTAAATGTCAATTAAAGCATCCACTAAGTCGGTCGAAGAATGCTCGTATAGTTTTGAGATGTTCCTCCCATTCATCAGAGTAGATGATTGCGTCATCAATGCTATGCGTCACATCCGTGTAGACCAGATATTACCAATGTTTATAAGGCTCTGAAAAGTTGCTGGTGAGTTTTTTCATACCAAATGGCATGACTTTATATTGATACATAAGCCGTCTGGTGTTACAAAGGCTGATATTTCTTTTAGCTCTATCAGTAAGTGGAAACTTGCCAGAATCCTTTTAGAAGATCAAACTTTGTTACATACTTTGCTTTTCCCAATTTTGTCAATACAGTCATCAATTCTTGGTATAGGGGAAATGAATCAGTTTTTGTTACAGAGTTCACTTTACGATAATCTGTACACATTCTATATGTTCCATTTGATTTCGGTACCAGAATACATGAGAGCTGTAACTGCTTTGACTTGGTTCAATAAAGTCATTATCCAATAAATACTGAACTTCTTGTCTTAGGTACTTTTTGTTTTACAGGATTTGTTCTATATGGATGTTGTTTTATTGGTTCAGAGTTTTCAAGAATGACGTCATGATGTATTTTATCAGTCCGTGTGGGAATATCAGGAAATAAATGTCATATTCATAAATAAGCTGTTTCAGTTTATCTCGTTTCGACGTTTCTAAATGAGCAAGTTTTTCATCCAGATTTTTCAGAATATCAGAGTTTTCAAGCTTTGCTGAACCAGGATCAGACTTTTCAAAATTTTCATAATTATTAAATTCAACTGAACATTGATTTTGTGGAACAGAGTTTACAAGAGATATAGGTTTATTAATTGTGCTATCTCTGTCAAAATATTCTTTTAACATATTTATGTGACACATTTGTTTTTGCTTTCGCCTCCCAGGAGTATTAATAATATAGTTAAGGTCACTGACTTTCTTTTCAATAGTATAAGGACCAAAGTATCTTGTCTGTAATGGTTTTCCAGGTATAGGTAAACACAGCAAGTACTCTATCACCAGGGTTAAAAAAACTTCTTTCCCCTGAGCATTCTCATCATACCTTGATTTCATTTTACTATGTGTTGATTTTAAATTAAGTCTAGCTAAACTCACATGCATTAGTCAACCTATTCGAAAATCTGATACATACTGAAGCAAATTTAAAAGAAATGTTATCTTCAGACAGGAATTTCTCTTTTAGAAGTTTTAAGGGTCCTCGGACAGTGTGACCAAATACTAATTCAAAAGGGCTGAAGCCAAGAGATTCCTGAACAGATTCTCTTACAGCAAATAACAATAAATGGATGCCTTCATCCCAGTCTTTTTCATTGTCAAAACAATATGACCTTATCATATTTTTCAGAGTCTGGTGAAAT